TTTAAATGAAATTCATTCATACAAGACATACAAAAATTAACAACAACAACATTAAAATCTAAATGTTTTCTTCATTCGAATCAAATAATTGCTATAAAAAATATTATTGACGGAATTCAACAAATAAGACACAAACATTAACGATTTTTATTCGTGAAAGCTAAATATTACAGGAGTGTTAGCAACAAATACAATTATATATTTTAGAAATTTTATTTTAGTCAAAGAAAAATAAATTGTAATATTTTTTTTTTTAATTTTGATTTTCTTTTAACAAAAATTAAAAAGAAAAGTTTGTAGGACAATGAGAGGGTAACATAAGGTCTATTGATTTTGTCTTGAGATTGAAGTTTTTTGAAACCACAAAATAAATGACTACTGGACTTCAATCCATGAAAAAATAATTTTTTGAAATCCTTGTTTTAATTTGATTGATATGATGAGGTAAGTAATAAGACTTTGGGAAAGGGAAATTTACAAAAAATAATAAAAATAAGTAAAAAAGTGTCAGTCGGTGTTGCCGGCAGATATATACCCTCAGCCTATGGTTTGTGGAGCTCTACAAAATTAAACACACCATTTTTTATTATTTGTTTATAATTTATATAAAAGAGTTGTAAGAAAGAGTTGACAATCTGTGGAGAGGTACCAGAAGATGTTCGTTTTAATTCGGTTCCAATTAAATTTACAAGTTTTTAAAATATTGACCCTTTGTGGGAGAGGTACCAGTTGAATGGACCGATGGGTTCTATCTTCGGACTCAATCTAGGCTTATTAAAAATATTTGCAAAGTTTGGATGAAACTTGGATATTCTGTTAGCTTTATATACTTACTTTCTTACTTAGCTGACTTGTTACAGAACGGTTGTTCCATAAGCCGAGCTTAAAAAAGATTTCCAAGCGCGTCGGTCCTGTGCGCATATCCACCAATTTGAAAGACCACGTTCCCAGATATTGTATTGGTTTTTCATCTAATTCCTAGGTTCACTTTTATATGGCTTTTGAGCTGGGGCATTCTCATTCATTCGCACAACATGGCCTAGCCATCGTAGTCGCTGCAGCTCAATACGACAGACTATGTCGATGTCCGCGTATACATTGTAAAGATCGTGGTTCATTCGACGCCGATATTCACAGTCAACGCATATCGGCCCGTAGGTCTTTCGGAGAATTTTTCTTTCAAACACCCCTTTATATAAGATTTTCCAAATGTTGTTGGGGAAGGAGTGGAACGATAAGTCCCACTCTTGAACATTATACAGGGTTGATTCGATATTTATAATTATCGTATGGCATAGTCGGTTCGCATGATATAATAAAATTAATGTTCACCAAAATTTTGAACATTTTATGTGATTTAAGTTTGAAAAAAATATTGCGATATGCAAAGTTTGGATAAAAACTGTTACTCCCTTCGAGAGAATATTTGTAACTCGACTCTAAATTGTCTGAAACGGACCCAAAGAAATTAAACCAATATTTCGATGAGGCAAATTTTTGCCGTAGGAAAGTGTGAATATACCCTCATCAGCCATAAATCTGAGGTTATGTGCCATTTTGAGCCAATCTTCTTTACCAGCACCATTTACGATTTGCATACCCTCCCCATATGGTGGAGTTCATTTTGAGAATTTTTGCCACTTTTTTAAGGATTTTACACTTATAGTTGCTACTGGGCAGAAACGGAAAGTGGTTATAAATTGGTTTGTTGGCATTTCATTGGGTAGCACATATTCCTACCAAAACCTTTCAATATTGGTAGACTTTTTTTTTATTTTTTTAGGTAAGCGAGCTTACCCTTTCTCGTTTTTTTAAATAAAAACAACAAGATTTTTATTTTTAAAGTGGGTTATTGTCACATTGATTACTTTTGGGAAATCCATGTGACCATAACCCACTTTAAAAATAAAAATCTGGTTGTTTTTATTTCTTTCTTGTTGTTAAAAAAATCTTTCTCGTTCCTTTTTAAAAAAAAGGAACTAGTTCCTAGTTCCAAACAGTTCCTTTGCTCCGTATAGTTCATTTGATCCATATAGTTCCATTAGTCCACACAATTTCTTTGATCCAAATAAGCATACCTGTTTTGAAAAAGATGTCAATATTTAGCGGGTCAAATGGACCCTAACTTTTGTGTGAAAAATGACAAAATTTGCTTTTTATAGCGTATATATTTACCAAAAAAGACCCGAGAAGTTGATAATATACGTAGAGGTGTGATTGACCTTTAAATTGATACCAATTATATTGCCGTAGGTACTATGCGGGATTACACTTAAATATTTACAGGTGCTTACGTATTTTTATATTATTTAGTAACCTATTACCACACAGGAGGGCGGAAATATAGCGCTGATCGCTTTGAAATGTTCCATGAGGTTCCAGTTATGGTCAAGGACAACGCCCAAAATGCTAGGTGATGATCAGATAATAATTTTTCGGATAAAGTTTACCGAAAACTTAATTATTTGTGCTTTTCGAGTCGAAAGCTGAACATCGCAACACAACCCACGGTGAAGGGAATCTGGACAAGTAATTAGAGGGGCTGTACTGATTATTAGTAACATTTGCTAACCACTAGCCATTCAAAAGTGTGCAAATATCGCGAAATATTGCCCAAACTCAGAATATAGAACCACAGAAAGTCTGATTTTAATGGAAGTTGAGCCCCGTCCGACTATACTGCTTCGCTCACTGGTTATTTTTAAAGTGGGTTATTGTCACATTGCTTTCGGGAAATCAATGTGACCCTAACCCACTTAAAAAATAAAAATCTGGTTGTTTTTATTTCCTTCTTGTTGTTAAAAAATCTTTCTCGTTCCTTTTTTTTTAAAAAAAAGGACCTAGTTCCTAGTTCCAAATATTTCCTTTGCTCCATATAGTTCCTTTGCTTTTTATAGTTCCTTTTAGTTCAAAAAAGACCGCGATCAGAAAAAGGGAACGATATCAGAAAAAGGAACTATATTAATTAAAGAGTTGAAACTAGTTCCGATCGTACCCAACTCTAGAGCCGAGCTTAATGTTCGAAGTTCTGCAATGAAAATAAAATAATATTTCAGCTGCGCACGGCTAGTGTTCGAAACCAGGTCCCCAGAGCAACACAAATGTTTCCAGACCACTTAGCCTTGCGAGCCATCAACACACTTCCCAAAATGCTGCGCAAAAAACATGTGTTAATCATGAAAGCAATTGTCTCAATTATGGCCCAAATATTGCGAATTTTTACATGGAGAATGGGATCGGGCCAAAGAATAAGCATGTCCGTTTTGACAAATATTTAGCGGGTCAAAAGGATCCTGACTTTTGTGTGAAAAATTACAAAATTTTGTATTCTATACCGTATATATTTACCCCTGAAGGATATAGACCCGAGAAACTGTTATGCAAGAGGAGTGTTATGCATTTCCAGTAGTATTTCAATATATGATGATGTTTTACCCCATAAATTGACAAAATTAATGACATTTTTTCCGAATTTTTTTTTAATGAATTTTTTTTAAATTCCTTGGATATTATGTATGCTTTAAAAATATCAAATTTAATAAATTCCGAATGATAATTCATGTTTTTATTTTATTTTCCCTTAAGCGAATCTTTCAAGATTTTCAATGGGCTGGTAAATCAATAACAATGCTTGTTAAGGTTTGTAACTTTGCACATATATATATGAAGATTTAAAAGAAAGGAAAAATTATTTACAAAAAAATGTTTTTGTTTTTTTTTTTTTTTTTTTGTAATTGCAATTGAATCCGAAAATTCCAACGGTATTAGAAAGAGTACATGTCTGGATCTCGTATGAACTAGGATTATTGACTTCGCTCTAAAATTTGGAATCGATTGGGTTATTAGTTTTTGAGTTATCGTGCCCGCCATTCACAAAAGAAAAAAACACGTTTAAAGTTTGAGAAGCCCTTTAGCCGTCACTTGGTGCTGACACAATAAATAGGCTATATCTTCAAGAGTTCTTGAGATTTTCACTTGAAATTTTGTTGGGACATTCTTGAATTAGTGAAGATTCAAATGAAATCAAAAAAAAATGTTGACCCTGTGAATGGGGGGGTGTTCCCTTAAACATTTTTTAAGAGAAATTTTGCCTTAGGTCTTAGCCGAATTTTACAATAAAAATTGCTGTAGTGTGGCGCTCCGGGTTCTTAGTGAATAGAAATCTTCTTCAAAAGAACTTCTAAATATAGGCCAAGTTTTGGCATATCATCTATATAAAGCTGGCACACTATTAGTGGTATTTTCTAGGTCCTTGCAGCATTACCCTACCGAAGTGAATAACAACTCTCGGTAAGCAATAAATATGCCTTTCAAATACATGTATATCTTCACAAATATACTTTCGAAATCCTTGGAAAAATTATATTTTTAAAAAGTACTTCCTCTTTTAATTAATTCTTCGAAAAATATTTATTATCTGTTCCTAATAAATATTTTTCATTCAAAAATACGTACAAAAATGTGCTATAGAATTTACCATCCCGGGTAAAAACTTTCGGGGTTTTTGGGTTAAAATTTCTTCGCAGAAAATTTTCAATATAGGTTCATGTTTTAAGATAACCCTCATATAAAGGTTCGAATTCATTTTTATGACATATGGCGCATTTTTTTTATAGATAGCAAAATCAGTAAAAATTTATTTTTTTAATGTTTTACTCCATATATTGTCAATATCAATTTTAGATGTAATAAAGGTTTTAATGTAGGGCAATTGCTTGACATAGTGCTCCATTTTTGGTATGTTAAAGGTCTCATCTGAATTTGTCCAACCGAAGTGTATGTATTCATTTTGCACTTTAGATAATAAACAACCATGCTCAATATAGGTCAATATTTGGACGTAGCCTCCATATAAGGTTTCCGGTCAATTTTTGTTTTTGAAATCGTCTCATATGGTGGTGATATAAAAAGTTTCACCCTGCTGAATTTAGATTTTTTATATTTTATGTATATATTGTAAAAATAATCTCTTAAATTAGTATAATTACACTAGTCGATGTCTACAATTCTTCAATTGCATCGTTAAATAAGTAACAAGGTCTCCTGTCACTTTGATCGTGTTCTCTTATCCAACGATTTTGTACTGCAAGAAAACCAAAAACAAGACAATAAATAAATAATATAAATAAAACCATGTAACCTACCCCATTTGGAACCAACAATGATGGGACAGGCGCCATGGAGACTTCTCCAATCGGGTTCACCCGAAGCGTGTAAATTATACCAAAAAGCAGCGGCACCTTTTTTAGGCATTACCAATTGTTTCATAAAAGGATAGGCTGTGCCACCACCTTGTTCTACGTCACTTAACTAAAGGGAAGATAAGAAAAAAATTACTGCTACAATTTAAAAAAAGTAAAAATGTTTGGGGAACCAAATACTTTACATAGAATAGAACCGTAGCAATACGATTTCCCATCGTATCGAAATTCACAATATTGGATAGATCAACCTAAAATAGAACACGGAACATGTTCATTTCTCTTCTTAAATATTATATAATTTCGATTATGGTTACTCACTCCCTTGATGTTGAAATAATCAAAATGTTCACTATAATGTCCTCCAATACCATAATTGGCAAATTGATGATCTTCCGCATATCGCATATTTAAATTGGTCATATCTTCAACACGCTGATCGATTTTGGCCAAAAGTGGATGTTTTGTTGCGGGTATAAATTGAAATTGGCTAGTGCGAACATTGGAAACAACCGAACCATTTTTACTCATTACCGTGGCCCGTTGAATTTGTTGATTCATTTCTTTTAAGGTTTCAATTTCATTGTCGGAGAGAACATCGTGAAATATGACCATCAACGGATCGTGATGCAACTCCTCAACTTTAATTGGAGCCAACCAGAGAAAGGGATGAGTTTCAACTAAATAGCCGCATTGTAATTCTCGTTCCTCTGCTGGGGTTTTCTTAATCAGACCAGCACATGTGAGTTTGAATAAATCGGCATGGCTAGCTGAGAATATATCTGCAGGTGGGGGCTAAAAATATTCAAAATAATTCAAAAATTTCCACGAGATTTAGTCCTACTACTTACTAAGTGCTCCATACTGTAATCCACAGCAAATTGTTGTTTATCAACCGATTTCTCTCCAAATTCGGCAAATAATTTTGCCACTTTTTCACTCTCAGGATAACGACTTGATAACTCGGCATAGGTTTCATTGGCACCCTGTATATCACCCAATCGAAATTTAACATCAGCTATTGCCAATTCAATATCAAGCTTATCAACACTTTCATCATCTGTGGATCTCTTCAGTGCCTCCTTTAACCAAAAATATCCCAATTTCGTATATTCGGTTTCCATTGCTCTCTTACCCATATCAAAACAATGACGAGCTTTAAAATGGACGCTGGGAAAACGAGTATAAATTATTTATTAACTCAATACATATTTATGTATCAGTAGACATACTCATGCTGAACACCTTGAAATAGACCGCTCGCAATGTCGGACGTATTAAGACGATAGATATCTTGGAGTCTGAGAACACCTTCTAAAGCTCCATCCAATTCCGTTTCATTAACCATTGTATTTTTAATTTTTTTAAGGGTTTCTATAGGAAGAATGTGAATATTTTATTTCAATTTAATATGCATTTATATTACTTCATTAAATTTCACCAAATTCGTGTAAACCGCAAGATATATAGAGACTTTGGTGCACCATTTACATAAAATCAGATGAAACTATATATGGGAGCTATATCTAAATCTGGACCGATTTTCACGAAACTTGGCAGACATCACTCTAGGCTCAATTCAGTACGTTATGCCAAATTTTGTGCAAATCGAAAGATATATAGGGACTTTGGTGCACCATTAACATAAAATCGGACGAAAATATATATGGGATCTATATTTAAATCTGGACCGATTTTCACGAAACTTGACAGACATCACATTAGTCTCAATTCAGTACGTTATGCCAAATTTCGTTGAAATCGAAAGATATATAGGGGCTTTGGTGCACCGTTTGCATCAAATCGGACGAAACTATATATGAGAGCTATATCTAAATCTGGACCGATTTTCACGAAACTTGGCAGACATCACTCTAGGCTCAATTCAGTAGTAATGCCAAATTTCTTGCATATCGAAAGATATATAGGGACTTTGGTACACCATTTACATAAAATCGGACGAAAATATATATGGGATCTATATTTAAATCTGCACCGATTTTCACGAAACTTGACAGACATCACATTAGTCTCAATTCAGTACGTTATGCCAAATTTCGTGCAAATCGAAAGATATATAGGGACTTTGGTGCATTCGTTTGCATCTAATCGGACGAAACTATATATGAGAGCTATATCTAAATGTGGACCGATTCTCACGAAACTTGGCAGACATCACATTAGGCTCAATTGAGTATGTTATGCCAAATTTTGTACAAATCAAAAATATATTTGGGGACACCATTTGCATAAAATCGGACGAAACTATATATGGCAGCTATATCTAAATCTGGACCGATTTTTACGAAACTTGGCAGACATTATTCTAGACACAATTCAGTACGTTATTCCAAAAAAAGTTCAAATTCTATAGGGTTCGACCTTGGGCCAAATAAGTGTCCTATGCCAAATTTCATCCAATTCGGATCATATATGCGACCTGTATTTTGTTTGCAATTTAACATGGACACATAAACGAACGGACGGACGCACATGTATAAATCGTCTTAGAAAGTGATTCTATGCATATTCTCGTTTCCTTTTGCCTGTTACAAACGTATGCACAAAGACATAATACCCTGTACCACAGTGTGGTGAAGGGTATACATATTTTTAGAACCCCAGCTCATAGCTCTGGCAATCCTTCATTTTGTACAAATTCCCGATTATCATCCTAAAACATGTACGCTTATAGTTAAGAAAATCCTCTAAAAATATCTATTAACCGCCCTGCTAATCTATAACGATTTTTTAATAAATTCTCGTTTATATGTCTGATATTCCTACAAAACAAAACTTAAAAAACAATACGCGTAGTACTTACTGTGACCTTCTTTGTATTGCAAAATATTTTCCAGGCGATCCCAATCTGTTGTCAAACGTTTGGTAAGTAAATATTTGTTAACGGGATTCTCAAAGTATGAGGTACCCGTTTCCATCGCTTCATTATGTTCACGTTCATATTCGGCCAAACGTCTGAAATATAACAACCTTCAGTAAGCTTCATTCCCTCTTCACTCATTCATTCGCCGTTTCACTTACTCTTTTAGATAATCTAATTTATTTTGATTTTTTCCAATAAATTTTTGCATATTTTTCAACATTTTCAATTCAAAATCCATCACTTGAGACATTTTATAAACCGATGAGTAAAATTCTCCATTTGTGGGGAGTATTGTGACGGTGGCCACTATTACCACAATTTCAAATAACCAATTCATGATGTTATGGGGCACCACGATAATCACAAAATTAATTTTTATATATTTGTTTTTTTCCTTTTACTATTCCAATAATTGTTTATGTTTCGTGTTAAATGTTCTAAATCTTACTAAGTCATCTTCCATATTACATTTTATGTTTGACCTCAGATTTTGTTACAAAACCTAAGATTTTCTATAGGAAAGCTTAATTTAAATACAGAGAATGTTTGGACGAAGTTAAAAGCTTTCCAGCGATACCAATGTGTCTTGTTATTAATAAACTGGTTTCTAGACGCTCATTAATTCCGTATATCTTCGTTGTTGTTATCTTTCTCCACGGGTCATTGTTCTTCCGATTTACGGGTCAATACAATATATTATGTTATGATGGTATTTTGTTATTTTGTTTAGATTTTACATGGTTTTGTAGCATCGTTTGTAGAAAAAGCAACGACTTTTAAATAAAACATTTTCAATTGAAAATAATTCGTAAATATATGGATTAGCTGAATCGATCAAGAAGTACAAACCCGTCTTAATGCCTTGGCCATGACATTAAAATTCTGCTAGGAGATTATAATGCAAAAATCCGAAAAATTCAGCCTCCATGAAGAAACATCTGACAACGGCATGAGGTTGATTGACTTCGCGGCAGCAAACAACATGTTAGTTAGAAGCACCAGATTCAAGCATTTCGAAATTGAAATCAAATTGATCATATTGTGATAGACGAAAGGCATTCAGGAGCAAATATCGATTCGGACCATTACCTTGTGATAGTCGAGGGTCGTCTTAATGCAGCAAAGTCAACACTTGGGTACCAAAAACCAACATCAAGAAAGCCATGGTACGATCTGGAGTGTCATAATGCTACTAATGGAAAGACGCAGCGTATAGGGAACATTGCAGACAGTAGCAACACGTAATGCGGTGAAGAATTATCGGGAGAAAAAGAGAGAGGAGAAACGTATTTTCAGAAAAAAAGTAAGAATAAGAAAAAGGTAAGCGTGAGCAAATCGAGATATATGTACAGAAGTCAGAATGAAGTCCGGAAATTGCACCAAGGTGCAGGCTTATCCTCCTGTAGATATGAAGATGAAAACCTGATAACATATACAGATAGCGTGCTGAGGATATGGAAGAGGATTTTGTAAAGCTTCCGGTACCAAATAGTGGCGGTGAAGAAGATACCCCGGAATCAATAAGAGATGACGGTAATGACGGTATAGAATGTATACCACCAAGTGAAGATGAGGTCAGAATAGCAATTAGTCGGCTGACGAATAATAAAGCAGCAGACGTCGATGGGTTACCAGCCGAACAATTTAATACTGGTGGTCAAATGCTGGTCAAGAGCATGCACCAGCTGGTTAGTACAATTTGGCTAGAGGAATACATGCCCAATGATTGGAACCTCAGAATCCTGTGACCCGTGCGGACTCAGGCCTGGAAAATCCACCATTGACCAGATTTTCACACTGCGCCAGATCATGGAAAAGATCCAAGAAAAACACTTCGGCTCATTCCACCTATTCGTCGACTATAAAGCCGCATTCGACAGCACTATCCGTTTCAGAGGTGTTTAAAGCCATGTCTGCGTTCGACATTCATGCGTTCGACGAATTGGGAAGGATTGTGCCAAAGTGGGACTGACAGTAAATGACGATAAGACCAAGCTGACGGCATCTACGCGCCAGACGTCCAGTAGACTCTACAGATCTACTACTACAGCTTCGAAATAGTGAACGATTTTATATACTTCGGTACTAAACAAAATTAATAACATCGGCTTTGAAATCCGGAGACCAAACTCACACTCTACAAGACGCTGATATTACCGGCGCTGTTGTATGGATCTGAAGCATGGGTACTTACGCAAGCAGATGAGGGAGGTCTTGGAGTGTTTAAGGGAAAAATTATCCGGAAATCTATGGGCCGATCTGTGTCGACGGTGAACATCGATGTCGTATGAACCATGAGTTGTGCCATTTATTTTAGGACTTTCGACTAATCGATTAATCGACTTTTTGTATTGAAAAGTCTAAAAGTCGAAGTCGACTTTTGACCTTTGAGAAAATCGCAAAGTCGTCTGTTCTTCATAAATTCTTGGTTTATTATTACAAAGCCCAAATTGTTCAAAAACTACACATTCCCGAACATTTTTTTCCATCTGTTGACAACAATTCCTATAAAAAATTAAATTTTTAGTCGATTTTGCTTTAGTTGGTAAAAGTCGCAAATCGATTTTGAACAGGTTTGACAAAATCGAAAGATCGAAAAGTCGACTTTTTAGTCAAAGGCAAAAAACGAATAGTCTAAAAATTTGGTCAAAGGCAAAAATCGAAAAGTCTAAAATCGACTTTTGCGCTCGACTACGTGTCCCTACTCGGACATCGACATAGTCAGACTATGGTCAAGGCCTGTTTTTGATGTTTTCGTAGTCTTGCTGTAATTTGGCACTGCGGGTTCTTGGTGGGTAGAAAGCTTCTTCTCCAATATTTGACATACCACCCATAGAATGGTCGCACTCCATTTATGGTATTTTATAGGTCCTAGCAGAATTTTCCAACTGAAGGGCAAGCAAAGAATATACCTTACAAATACACACTTATGGGTCTAGTATTCCTTAAGAAAAATTAATTTCATATTTTCGATTATGTTTCGGATATGCTTTGAACAAATATTTAAAAAAATAGATTCGCTGTTAAATGCTTTGTTTCAAAACATAATAATGTTTCCACTTCGGGAAGAAAAATCTGGGTTTTGAGGGTTATATATATATATTTTTTTTTTTTTGCAGAATAATGTCAATACAGGTTCATAATTTAACATAAGTCCCATATAGAGGACCCTACCTATTTTTCTTGTCTTTTAGGGACCATAGGCTCATTTTCCAACCGTAGGGTATTTAAGATTCTTGATGGGTTAAAAACTAGTTTCCAGTAAATATTCAATATAGGTCCATGGATTACCCCACATATATGTAGGTCAAGATTTTTGTAATTTGCACAATATAAGTACATATTTTACATAGCCCCCATATCCGGCCGATTTTTTCAATGCTCACCATATTTTGAGCAGATAAAAAATATGATCCGATTAAATTTGGTTTTCATTATATTTTCTTAATATATTATACAAATTTTATTTTAAATTAGTCTAAAATTAAAACAAGTCTACAGTTCTCAAATTGCATCGTTAAATAAGTAACAAGGTCTCCTGTCGCTTTGATCGTGTTCTCTTATCCAACGATTTTGTACTGAAAGGAAAACAAAACCAAGACAATAAATAAAATTCGCTTAAATAAATAAAACCATGTAACCTACCCCATTTGGAACCAACAATGATGGGACAGGCGCCATGGAGACTTCTCGTATCGGGGACACCTGAAGCGTGTAAATTATACCAAAAAGCAGCGGCACCTTTTTTAGGCATTACCAATTGTTTCATGAAAGGATAGGCAGTGCCGCCACCTTGTTCTACGTCGCTTAACTAAAGGGAAGATAAGAATAAAATATTACTGCAACAATTTAAATAAGATACGGGTTTTTGGGGATCCAAATACTTTACATAGAATAAAACCGTTGCAATACGATTTCCCAAAGTTTCATAACTAAAAATAGTTAAATTAACCTAAAATGAAAAAAAATAAAACATATTATTTTCCCTTCTTAAATATTGTAAAATTTCGATAATGTTTACATTGGTGTCGAAATAATCAAAATGTTCACTATAATGTCCTCCAATACCATAATTGGCAAATTGATGATCTTCTGCATATCGCATATTTAAATTCGTCATATCTTCAACGCGCTGATCGATTTTGGCCAGAAGTGGATGTTTTGTTGCGGGAATAAATCTAGATTGGCTAGTGCGAACATTGGAAACAACCGAACCGTTTGTACTTATTACCGTGGCTCGTTCAATTTGATGATTCATTTCTTTTAAAGTTTCAATTTCTTTGTCGGACAGAACATCATGGAATATGACCATCAGCGGATCATGATGCAACTCCTCAACTTTAATCGGAGCCAACCAGAGGAAGGGATGAGTTTCAACTAAATAGCCGCATTGTAATTCTCGTTCCTCTGCTGGGGTTTTCTTAATCAGACCAGCACAAGTGTATTTGAATAAATCGGCATTGTTAGCTGTGAACATATCTGCAGGTGGGGGCTAAAACATTCAAAATAATTAAAATAATTCCACGAAATTTAGTCCTTCTACTGACTAAGTGTTCCGCACTGTAATCCACCGCAAATTGTTGTTTATCAACGGATTTCTCTCCAAATTCTGCAAATAATTTTGCCACTTTTTCACTCTCAGGATAACGGCTTGATAACTCGGCATAGGTTTCGTTAGCACCCTGTATATCACCCAATCGGAATTGCACATCAGCTATGGCCAATTCAATATCAAGTATATCAACACTATCATCTTCTGCGGATCTTTTCAGTGCCTCCTTTAACCAAAAATATCCCAATTTTATATATTGGGTTTCCATTGCTCTCTTACCAATATCGAAACAATGCCGGGCTTTAAAATCGACGCTGGGCAAACGAGTACAAATTATTTATTAACTCAATACATAATTATGGATTATTAGACTTACTCATATTGAACACCTTGAAGTAGACCGCTGGCTATGTCGGATGTATTAAGACGATAGATATCTTGGAGTCTGAGAACACCTTCTAAAGCTCCATCCAATTCCGTTTCATTAACCATGGTATTTTTGATTTTCTTAAGGGTTTCTATAGAAAGAATGTGAATACATATATATATATATATATATATTTAATTAAATATACATATAAATTGCTTCAAAAATTAATATTAATTTAGAAAAATATTTTCAATACCCAAGCTATATTTTATAAAAAAAAATATTCTATAAAAATCCTCCAAAAAATATATATTTTTGAAAATGCACTCGCTAACATTACTTCAAAAATATAATGTTAAGTTTAGATCAAAGATTAAATAGGATATCTTTATCAGGGTCGCTAAAACCTTCAAAA